TGTGGGAGCCCCGTCAAAAACCTGTCAATTATGCTATTATTTACTTGTATGTTATTTAATTTTTTTTCCCCTTTTCATACTGCGCCTCCCCTGCAATGGCTCTGTGCCCCCCCTAGGGGGCAGGCTCCACACTTTGGGAAGGTCAGAGTTAACACAAGATCTAGAGTGTGATTAAAGTGGTGGGTGGGTTCTTTTACAGTTTGAGAGAAGCCAATTGAGTCTAATAACAGATTAAATGCCATGTTGAGGCTGTCATTTTTAGCATCTACATGGATTAAAATCACCCATAATAATTATTTTATCTGAGCTTAGCACTAAATCAGATAAAAAGTCTGAGAAATCAGACAGAAACTCTGTGTAAAGCCCAGGTGGACGACAGATGGCATTGGTGGGGACGGATGATTCAACCACCGAACCCTGCCCTGTTTCTTTTTTTCCACCCTTTTTATGTTTTCTTCTTGATAAAAAAAAGAAGAGAAATATACTTGCCTACATATGCTATTCTACAAGCTTTTAAACCATTAAAAATTACAATTAGTAATTTATAGTTGTATATGTGAATTATATAATGTTAAATTACTATTAAACAAATGACTGACTAAGTATTTTAGGCTTTAGTTTACTTCAGCCATATTCCATATAAATCAGATATCATACAAAAGTAAAAATAGCTTCAAATACAGTCATAACAATAAAAGAATATGACTTTAAGGACTTAACAACATTACTTCAGCTATAGTACACCAACATCTCTGATACATTAGCACTAAGGGAACACTGAATGACCCGGTGGTTTTTGTCCATAAAACTACTCATCTAAGATTACCATAAAGTAAAAGATCTCTCAGCAACATTATGCAACATTTTAGGCACTATTGCCCCTATCAAATCAGTGAGCTGGGATGTTTTCTTCTAAACATGAACTACTGTTACAGCAACAGACATGGACTACTGGTGCCCCACACAACAACTCAATGTCCACTATGTGAAGGAGCCAAACACATGCCTGCTCCTCTCGTTAATCTGTAGCACCAAAACATCAGTCAGGTACCAGTTACCTTGCCTCTTCACCTCTGTCCGAGCTACAACATGGCAGAGCTGCCTCTGTCACCTGATAAATAACAGTGAGACATTCCACATACATGCAGTCACACATGTGCTTCAGATACAGTAATGAACCAATAGGTCATCATCCAATTTCACGTGTGATCTTGTATCATCATTACTCTCTAAGCTTTGTGCTGGTTCTTCTGTCATCTGACAAATAGGACATACATGACAATAAGAATAAAATGGGTAGCTGCTTCAGTGTTTCTGTCAATTTGTGCAGATCTTGCCTCATCTGTAATGTTTGTAGGGTGAGTGCATTTTTAAAACAATTTGTGCAAACTGCACTACAAGGTGGAATATTTGCAAAATCATGCTTACCTCATGATATTTTGTCTCAAAAATTAACCCTATGAATATGTCAGTGCCATTAGGATGAAATTATTGTGTCACCAACATTTTAACATTAGACATATAATTTTAACAGCCTCTGTAAACTGGCTTGCTCAAGGCTGCCGTTTTCTCTGACAGTTTCAATCAAAATTAGAAATGCTACTCTGAGACTGAGATAACTAATAGTGCTGCCTGTGGTGCAGTCAGTTTCCAAAACACGTTATTCATTGTTACAATTTTAGACTGTGGGCCAAAGCCTAGCATAGCCTGTAACGTTATTATGACGGAGACATTTTATGAGTGAACTTGACTTTAAATGACTTACAGGTTTCTTTGAAAAGTGCTTTCTTATATCCAGGTTCTTCCTTTTTGTGGCATCCTCCTCTCCTCCTTGGAGGGCCTTGCAGCGCAGGCTTGCCACTGCTAAAACTAAACAGAGCTCCCTGAGAGGCACAGCCAATCACATTGGCCATATTTGTCACATGAGGTAGGACTCCAGTAGCGAACGTAATTTAACTCTTTCTGCACCGCTAGGTGACTGAGATGTTGACAGATCTTTTTTTTTCTCTCTATCGGGTTTGTTTTTCTTTACTCAAAGAGATCAAATTATTGGTGGGGACAATTCAATAATCGTTGGATATTGGTAGGGACATGTCCCTTCCGTCCATGCCAAATCTACGCCCTTGGATGATAACAAATAAGACTGGTTTCTGAGTTTTACAGCTGGGGTGGACAATGTTAAGCATCAGGCTTTCAAATTAATTAAAAGTCTGTCTTGGTCTTTCATTAATTAATAGGCTGGTGTGAAAAATTGCTGCCACACCGCCCTCTCGGCCTGTGCTTCGAGATTTCTGGTAGTTAGAATGACTAGGGGGTTTTTGATTCATTTAAACTGACATACTCATCCTGCTGCAACCAGGTTTCTGTAAGGCAGAGTAAATCGATTTGCTGATCAATTATTAAGTCATGTACTAACAGAGACTTGGAGGAGAGAGACCTAATATTTAATAATACACATTTCACTGTTTTACTCTTTGGTTCAGATGTGGATACTTTATTGTTCTTTCTTTGTGATTTTTTTTATGTTTAAGTTGTTTGTTGCTGGTTTTTAGTTTGTTTTTTGTCTGTTTAGGAGCTGACACAGTCTCAGTGGAGATGGGTTTTTTGGGGGAGTAGCAGGAGGAGAGAAGCTGCAGAAAGGCGTGTAAGACTGCAACTCTGCTTCCTGGTCCCAACTCTGGATAGTCATATTTTGGGGTTTTTAATAAATTTGTCCATATTTCTAGAAATGAGAGCTGCTCCATCCAAAGTGGGATGGATGCCGTCTCTCCTAACAAGACTCGGTTGCCTACAGAAGGTTTGCCAATTATCTATGAAGCCCACATCGTTTTCTGGACACCACTCAGACAGCCAGAAATTTAAGGAGAACATGCTGCTAAACATGTCACTCCTGGTCTGATTGGGGAGGGCACCAGAGAAAACTACAGAGTCCAACATTGTTTTGACAAAGTTACATACGATTCAATATTGATTTTAGTGACCTCCGATTGGTGTAACCGGGTGTCATTACTGCCGACTTGAATTATGATTTTACTGAATTTACGTTTACCCTTAGCCAGCAGTTTTAAATTTCCCTCAATGTCGCCTGCTCTGGCCCCTGGAAGACAATTGACTATGGTTGCCGGTGTCTCTAGCTTCACATGTCTGAGAACAGAATCACCAATTACCAGAGTTTGACCCCCGGCGGGTGTGTCGCCGAGTGGGGAAAAACGGTTAGACACATGAACGGGTTGGTGGTGTACCTGGGGCTTCTGTTTAAGACTATGCTTCCTCCTCACCGTCACCCAGCCACCCTCTTTCCCCAGCTGCTTGGGGTCTGCCGGGGAACAGCTAGCGGGGCCTACACTATCTTCGGCTGCAGCAGCTACAGGGGCCTGGCTAGTGAAGAAAATATAATCTGATCAAACATTATTCAGCTTTAAATAATTGTTCAGCTTTAAAGTTACTGTGCAACTGTGTAATAAAAATGTGCTCACGACTTTGGCCTTGAGAGCGATAAGAAGCGATCGCCTCATCCTGCAGGTGCAAGATATCTGCAAGCGAAGAGACTAGAACACCCAAGGCCGATTTCCTTTTATGGAGTTGTTTTTCTGCTAATGCAGCACTTTCCTCACAACCCCCTCCTGTAAGTTTTAGAGAATATATACCCATCCTCACAGCAAATCTTCGGAATCTCCTGATGTGAGCTGTGTTGAGAGGTTGTCTCTGTCTCAATAAAAGTTCACTGATTCCCCATCTGCCGCAGGTGTCCGGTTGTCTTCATTCTCCGCCAGCCTGGTTAAGTCAATTCCTCCTTAACATCTAAAAGAACCTATTTAATGAAGGAAGACGGGTTCACTTTGTGTTTAATATTATTCTATTGCTGTTGTTGTTTTTTTTGTATCCTTCGCTAGCTACAGGTGAATGAAGCCGAGTCTCTAATTCAGTAATCCTGGCCTCCAGAGCTGCAAATATGCTACATTTGTTACAGATATCATTACTGCTAAAGGAGGCCGAGGAGTAACTAAACATCTGACACAATGAGCAGGAAAGTGCAGGAGGGACAGGTGAAGTAGCCATGGTGCTAGTGAGTCGGCTACGAGCTAAGCTAAGCTAGCGAAACAGTACAGACACAGCGAGTGAATACGTTGGCTATAAATTAGGTAGTGACTACACAGAAACTGTGCTTCGGATGAAACGTGAAAATTATACTATGAAAAATGAATGTATATAAAAGTTTTTAATTAAATTGCTAAGCAGATAAGCTACTCAAAAACACCACTGTGTTTGAGCAGGAACAGGAAGTGATACTCTACCGCAGAGAGAGCGAACACCAAGTGACAGTGCTACCAAGAGTTAGGAGCGATCCTTTTCAGTTTTTTCTTTCATCATCTCCAACTCTCTTTGCTGTTTAAATCTCTCATGGTTCAGCTGTAATGAAAATTCTTTCTGCTATTCAAATGTTAAGTTTGTGATTGCTGATACAAGTGTGTTTGGTAAAACCTTACCTTTAGTTCAAACCAAAATCCTTGCAGTGTTTTAATAGTTAAAACATTGAAATCCTGCCTCCAAGTATGGTTCCTGCAGGAAGACTGTGTGGATAGGGTCAATTCAGTAAAAATCTGTCACCAACCTTGACTTATCAAAGGATTATTAGCGAGTTCATTTAACTACACGTGTCTCAGATTTTGTGTGTCACTATCATTTTCTGTAGCACAGTTATGTGCTTTGGTCTCCTAAAATCCCCTGCTATATTCCAGTGTCTCATTCACATTCTTTTTGTACACATTGTTTTGTTGGTATAAACAATTATCAATTTTCACATATAAAGAGTGACAAAAAGTTTATGACAAGAAAGTATTCTGTGTGATCTTGGCTTCAGGTTGTGTTTGATTTGCTGTCTGCCACTGATGCTGACACTTGCATTCAAAAGGGATTTTAAAAAATTAGGTATTTTATAATTACTTACACTTTCCTCTGTTTCTCTTTCTCTCCCCCCCCCCTCCCCCCCTCTCTCTCAGTGAGCTTTTGGGTCAAGACTTTACAGAGACATACTACACAGAGGATGGGAAACCTGTTACTCTTACTAATCACAATTACACTGTAAGTATAAAGAAACAAGAAGGGGTAGATGCCTAAGAAAATTTCAGTTATATTATCAATCTATTCAGGCTAACTCATCTTAAAGAATTTCCTGATTGTAACATAAACTCAATTTATGTGCTCTAAACTTGGGTCTCTGTTTGTGAAGTTCATTGTTCCAAAAAGCAGGCAGATCAGTTCCCTCTCTTCATAGAATGATTCTTTTAACCCAGATTTTTGAGATAAAACTATATAAACAAACAGACTCTGGTAATGGTGCTAAAGTACTGAAACTTGTTTACTTCCTAATGCTAGCTGTTTCTATTTGAAGGGCAGTCTGAGATTATAGGAGAGCGAGAGGGTGAGATCACTTTACTTTGGTATGTTTGAATTTGTGTATTTTTAGATTTGACAATGCACGCACTGCTTCCCTTGGACCAGCTGGCGAGCACTGTGAGGGTCATGTTCTTTACTTTTCCAGCGCGTTCAGTACCACCAGGCTGACCCTCCTGGGTGATAAGCTGAGAGTGATGTGGGTGGATGCCTTTCTTGTTTCCTGGATTGTTGATTGTCTGTGATGACACAGTGTACCGGGCTGTGGTTGACTTCTTTGTCACGTGGTGCAAGCAGAATCATCTGCAGGTCAGCGTGACAAAGACCAAAAAAATGATTGTGGACTGTAACCTCTGGTACAATCCAGGGGGTCATTGTGGAGGACTATAAATAGCTCGGAGTACACATAGATAATAAACTGGAGTGGGTTAAAAATACCACTGCATTCTCAAGGAAGGGCCAGAGTCAACTCTATTTTCTGAGGTGGCTGAGAGGGTTCGACTTGGACAAAAAATTGGCCTGGGCATTTTGACTAGAGATTAGCTCACCAGGTATTATAGGAAAAGCCATGAAGCCTAATAAACTTAGACCTACACCATCCTCCCTATTCTGGTATTCTAACCCGTACTTAGTGGAAACCAAAAGACTGCTTTGTTAAGTTAAGCTCCTGAACTATCTATAGGGTGGGCCATTTATATGGATACACCATAATAAAATGGGAATGGTTGGTGATATCAAAGTCCTGTTTGTGGCACATTAGTATATGTGAGGGGGCAAAACCCTCAAGATGGGTGGTGACCATGGTGGCCATTTAGAAGTTGGCCATCTTGGATACAACTTTAGTTTTTTTCAATTGGAAGAGGGCCATGTGACACATCAAACTTATTGGTAATGTCACAAGAAAAACAATGGTGTGCTTTGCTTCCATGTCTGTGTTGTCCTCCCTCTGACTTGTCTGTTTTACAAATGTGTCTGCAGCTGCCTTCACAGTTGCGAAGTACCTGGCGATACTTTTGAGGCTATCTTGTGTGGCGGTCATCATATGATGGGCAGAGAAAATGTCTATCCCATTTGACTGGAGGTACTTCAACAGAAGAGTTGTATGCTCAAACACTCTAAGAAATCTGTGCTGTTAACACAGTTTCATGCTTCAAGAGACACTCTTTAAAGCCTTGTGCTTTGGCATAAACAGCTGGCTTTTCTTTTTCCCTCTTTTTAATCTTCCAGCGTGAGCACTGCATCAACAAAGAGGGCATCATCATCTGGTTTTCCAAAATGTCCACAAAGAATTTTTGGAGGGCATCATGCTTGGCGCACCACCATGTCTCACCTATTGGATTGAAGCATCTGTGTCTTGTCTCTTCTTGGGTTTGTTTCTCCTACAGATTAACCCTGTGATAGGACTCCTTGAACACTGTACTGCTCCGTTAGAGCTGGGCGATAGAACGATAACGATATGTATTGCGAAATAACTTTTTCTCGATAGAAAAGTTAAACTATTGCGATAGGCCTCATCTCTCTTGTCCTCTTAAAAAAAAAAAAAAAGAACAGCCAATCCAAATTAAGTAGCGCAGAGCCGAACCAATCACAGCCGCAGCGTCACGTCACGTGACTTGTTACGTACAGCACAAGTGCCAAGCCGCACATGTCAGGGCTCTGTGTGCGGGCAGGCAGAGATGAGGATCCAAATGCAGGACTCGAACACGGAATTGAAACTCAAAAACCTCAGCTTTATTGCTGGCAGGAAAACAAACATGAAGTGATGATGGAACACTGAGACCAAGGACACACAGGCATAATCTGATGGTACGACGCGACACCGAGCATGGGAAAACACAGGGCTTATATACACAGGGTAGTAACGGGGGAATCGGCAACAGGAGGGAGACACAGCTGGGAGAGATCAGGGCTAACGAGACAGGGGGAACAAAGCTGCACACACTAACATCAGACAGGAACAAGAACCTTCAAAGTAAAACAGGAAACAAAACACACTTTACTAAGACACAGACTAGACAGAGACAGACTTGACACTGACCAAAGGCTACTAAATGATAATCATAATCACAACAGTATCAGATCATAAATCATAATATGGAAAAACACCAAGAACCAGAGAAACAAAGGAAAATCCATGATGCAAAAGCACCAAAACATAATGAACTCAAAATACTGGGTCCAACGGACCCAGAACCGTGACAGCACATGTGTATTTGTTTGGGAAGCGCATATATATATATATATATATATTAGGGGTGCAATGATACTCGTATCGATATTGAACCGTTCGATACAGTGCTGTCGGTTCGCTATGCATATGTATCGAACAATACAACATTTTTAATTGATTAACTTTTCTTCTGACGATGCTGTCTGTGTTGAGCGTGGGTGGTGGATCTGCGTTCGACTACTCCGCCTTGGCTGCACTGTCGAGCGCAGATCCATTGAGCGCAGGGCAAGCTAACAAGACAGAAGCTAAGCTTGTTGCAACATGGCAAATTGAACCTCCCCCACCCTCATTCAGATCTGGCCTTTGGGACTATTTTGGTCTTCATGTGAAGCATGACCCTGAAGGTAAGCATCTCAGGGACAAAAGTAAAACAATATGTCGGATGTGCCACGCAATGCTCAATTACATGGGTGGGAACTACTGCGTTAGCGCAGTTTGCTCGTTAACACGCACGAGGCGATACGCCGTAGCTCGTTAACAGAGATTTGCCGTGTTGTGGCGTTAACGTCACGGGTGGGAACAAAATGAATATGACTGCACATTTACGCCGACATCATCCTAGTGTAAAGACAGGTGGAAGCAGACAAAAACAACAAGCACGCATGCTACAAACTTTACCCGAGTCATTTAGACAGCCGTAAGCATGTGATTCTCCTTATGGGGACCTGATATGTTTAATATGCTGCTGAGAATATAGCCCAGAAGAAGTGTATAGTATAGCTTTTATTTTGGAAAGAGACATTTCTCTGTAATAAACTCTCTTTTCCAAAGATGAGTGATGTCTCGATTAGATTGACTTATTTTATCCCTTTGTTGTTTCAGCAACACTAAATTTAAAAACTGTACGTTTGAGTTAAAATATATATTTATTATTTTAATAAATGACAAATTAAAAAAGCATGAACATTTTTTTGTATCGAAAACATATCGACTCTGGTGTCACAGTTCGATATTTTTTCGATACAAAAAAAATGCGCTAACGCACTAGTTCCCACCAATATAATTGAGCATTGCGTGGCACATCCGACATAGTGTTTTACTTTTGTCCATGACGCGCTTACCTTCAGGGTCATACGTCACATGAAAACCAAAATAGTTCCAAATGCCAGATCTGAATGGGGGAGGGGGGGGGGGGGGGGTTTCAATTTGCCATGTTGCAAGGAGAGCTTAACTTCGGTCTCCTAGCTTGCCCTGTGCTCAGTGAATCTGCGTTCTACTACTCCGCCTAGGCTGTACTGTCGAGCGCAGATCCACTGAGCACTCAACACAGACAGCATCGTCAGAAGGAAAGTTGATAAAATTAATTAAAAATTTTGTATTGTTCGATACATATGTGTACCGAACCAAAAGCACTGTATCGAACGGTTCAATATCGATACGAGTATTGTTGCACCCCTAATATATATATATATCTATATATATCTATATATATATATATATATATATATATATAGATATATATATATATAAAACTCTGTCATGCTAGCTACTACACAGTACGAGTCATTGTAACTGACTGTAAAACGTAACGTTAGCACAGCGAAAATAAAATACACCTAAGCTTGGTTTATATCTGACCCAGATTGGCTGCAGTTCATAACTTCTTACCTGAAGTTCAGTTCCCCTGCCCCTCTGCCCAGCGACCTTGGGTCTCCCCTCCTCCTGCCTTCCCTTTCCCTCATCTACCTCTTGGCCTCCACCACTTACTAATGTTACTGAATCTGTGGAAGCTCCGCCATAGCCACCACCTGCCTGAAGGGCTTGTTTCTTATTGGCCCTTATTTTTTCCGCACCTCCTTTTCACTTTTTGTTCACCATTTTCTTGTCTTTGTCTGTGATAAGATTGCTTTCAGAGCCGTTGCCCGAGCAAGGGGGGGGGTTGTAATTGTGCCAGCCCAGAGTCGATCATGACCAATTAGCCAATCCACCACCTTTCATTTTTTTAAACCGTTACAACCCCCCCCCCCCCCCCCCCCCCAAAAAAAAACCAAAACAAAACAAAACAAAAAACAAAACAAATAACATCGGCCCATAACAACAAAAAATCACCAATGGCCCACCAGGAAAATGCCCGATGGCCAGTCCAGCTGTGCTGGGGTCCATTAATATCTATCAGACAATGCTCAGGAGATTTCTTTATGAGTCTGTTGTGGCCAGTGCCATCCTCTATGCTGTTGCATGCTGGGGCGGCAGGTTGACTGTCTCAGATGCCAATAGACTCAGTAAACTGATTCACAAGGCCAAGAATGTTGTTGGGACAGAGCTGGACTCCCTTAAGGTGATGTTGGAGAGGTGGATGTTGTCTAAGACAAGGACAATGCTGGACAAAACCTCCCACCCACTTCATGATATGTAGGACAGTCATAGGAGAACGTTCAGTGAGAGACAAAGGCTACGTTCACACTGCAGGTCTTAATGCTCAATTCAGATTGTTTTGATCAAATCTGACTTTTTTTGT